GCAAAAATTGGAGGTGAGCAATTCCTCCTCCCGCTGCTTGGCATGGGAAGGAGGCACGAGCCAGCTCAGGAACCTGGAGGAACGCGTGCCTTCAGCCCTCAGGCTGACCCCAGCAGCACCACAGTGCTGTAAAACCAGGGAGCTGAGGCTTCAGAGCAGTGCTTTGGACATCAGCAGTGAACCCCTGGATGATGTTTCATGGATGCGAAGCTCTGAGGGCTTCCCGGCCGCTGGGCTGCTCCGGGGGAAGTTTAGGGTTTGCACAGCACTAGGGGGTGCTGCGGACTTACAGCAGGCCCAGCGGCAGCGCAGGGCTCTGCCTCCGCACACTGCAGGACCGGTGCCCTGCTCACTGCCCAGCTTCCCTGCAAAGTGACCGTGCCAAAGGGGGTTAAAACTGCACGGGGGTTAAGAAGGATTAATAATCCAGCACTGACCTGCAGGAAACTGATGGCTGTGGAGCAGGGCTGGGGCTGGTCAGACCCAATGAGCCCTGACTGCCAGATCACCTCCCCAGGTGTGCGGATGCTGGACGGTCCCATCACGGACATCGTGGAGGCTCAGTCCCTCAGCCTGCGGCCGCAGCACATCCATATCTACAGCGCCAGCTGGGGCCCTCTGGATGATGGGAGGCACGTGGATGGGCCGGGGGTGCTGGCCATGAAAGCCTTTCACAACGGGATCACAAAAGTAAGCACAGCACTCACGTCCTGTAGGTTTGCTGGCTCCGGATCAGAGCAGAAGTGTGCTGGTGCTGGTGCAGGAGGGATACTTTGGGTTCTCCAGCACAGAGCTGGATGGTGACAATGCCATCTCCTGCTCATCCTCTCCCTGTCCCAGGGGCGTGGGGGGCTCGGTTCCATCTTCATCTGGGCCTCTGGCAATGGTGGCATCAATTATGACAACTGCAACTGCGACGGGTACACCAACAGCATCTACACGCTGACTGTGAGCAGTGCCTTTGCCAGCGGCCGGCAGCCCCGCTACAGCGAACCCTGTGCCTCCACCCTCACCACCACCTACAGCAGCAGCACCAGCAGCGAAGCACAGATTGTGAGTGTCCCCCCAACCTGGACAGGAGGAGGCGCTTCCACCCAAGCATGGGGCATGGAGGGACCAGGGTGCGTCCGCCAGCAGGGGATAAGGGACGAACCTCCACCCCCTTGTCCTCCCCAGGTGACCACTGATCTGCACCACCGCTGCACCGACAGACACGCAGGCAGCTCTGCCTCGGCCCCGTTGGCTGCAGGAATGGTTGCCCTCGCTCTGGAGGCCAAGTAGGTGCTGGGGGGCTGCCCTCAGAGCTCCCCCCAAAGCAGAGACCTCTTCCCCAACGTTCTCTCCCTCCCAGCCCAGCACTGACCTGGCGTGACGTGCAGCACCTGGTGGTCAGGGCCTCCCGACCCGCTCACCTGCAGGCAGAGGATTGGGCTGTGAATGGGGTCGGGCGCAAGGGTGAGTCTGTGCTTGCTGGCTTCAACCAGTGCCCAGCCCTCAGAAGGGCTCACGTGCCCCCTTCTCCCACATCCCAGTGAGCCACCACTACGGCTACGGGCTGCTGGATGCGGCTCTGCTGGTGGAGCTGGCCCAGGCGTGGGCAGGAAGCCGGCCTCAGCAGAGGTGTTCCATCGAAGCTCTCCATGCCCCGCGGTAAGGAACGAGGTCCCCTGGGGTCTGACCTCACACAGGGGCTTTCTTGGAGCAAAGCTGTGCTGCCGTCTGATGCAGGAACTGCATCTCAGGAGTTGGCTTCTGCTGTCAGTGCAGGGCTGTGGTCAGAGCCACGGCAGAGGGCAGGATGCCCACCGAGGGGGGAGGTGATGCTCTCACCCCTTCTTGTGCCCGTCAGGAACATCGGCTCCAAACTCACCGTGCCTGCAGACACCTCCTCCTGCTCGGGGAGGACCAGGAGCATCCGCTCACTGGAGCACGTCCAGGTGCAGCTCTCGCTGAGCTACAGCCGCCGGGGGGACCTGCAGGTTGCACTGAGGAGCCCCATGGGGACCACGTCCACACTGGTGTCTGTGCGGTAAAGGTTGTGCCGAGTCCTGGCAGTGCCCTGTTATGCTCAGCCCAGAGTGTCTGCGGAGCCCCTTTGGTCTGCAGCCCCTGCAGCCCCCCCCCCCATGTCTGCCCACAGCCCATACGACACCAGCCAGCAGGGCTACAAGGACTGGACCTTCATGTCCACACATTTCTGGGATGAGAACCCCAACGGGACCTGGACACTGCAGCTGGAGAACAAGGGTGATGCCTACAACACAGGTGGGCACCGCGGGGACAAACCCATCCACCGGTACCACCCAGTGCTTCGTTCCCTCCCTTCCCCTTATTTGGTTGGCATCTGACCATCCTCCCTCTGCTTCCCTCTGGGCAAAGCCCCTGGGAGAGCCCTGTCTCTGCTGGGGCTGTGCTTTGCGGTCTCCCACACAGCCCTATAAAGGGCATTGCAGCTTCCAGCCCCACATCCACCACCAAGGACGTGGGTTGGGGACGTACGGCCGCCACCCAGCACTGCATTCTCTTCCTCCCACCACCAGGTGTGCTGACCAGCTTCATCCTTCACCTGCACGGCACAGATGAGGACATGATGGCCAGGCACTTCTCAGCCCCCACCACGGGCGAGTGCACCAAGCGGGACGCACAGGGAGCATGCGAGGGTGAGCGCATCCCTCACCACGACTCTGGGCAGGAGGGGACGACGCTCTCAGTTCCTGGTGGCTCCAAGGGGCTCCATGTCCCCTCTCACACCTCCATCCCTTTGCAGAATGCAGTGGCTCCTTCTATGCCCACCAGAGCTCCTGCCTGTCCTACTGCCCACCCCGCTCCTACGGCCGCTCCCGGAGCACCACGCACACATCCCGCGTCTGCGCCCGCTGCCACCACTCGTGCTACACGTGCCAGGGCACCTCGGCCAACAACTGCACCTCCTGCCCTGCTGCCCACATCTTTGATGAAGACACCCACTCCTGCTTCGCTCCGCAGGGCCTCTCCCCCCAGGAAGGGCAGCACAGGAACCTCCTCCCCATCGTCCTCCTGCTCTGTGAGATCGCGATCCTCTTGGCCATGCTGTCCTGTGTGTTCCGTACTGCCTGGCTATGTGTGCTGGCTGGCTGTGCAGGTCGCCTGGCCCAAAGCCATCCGTACCCGTCTTCAAAATAAACCCCCTGTTGTCTTTATGGGCTGCTCCCACCCAGCTCCACATGTGGATACGGACACAGCGATGGCTGCCATCCCCTGCTGCCTCATCCCTGCACCCCCAGGACTGGGGCATTGCTGGACACAGCCCTGGTTCATGGAGGTGATGTCCAGAGGGAGCAGAGCACGGACCTCACGGCCTTTCCCAGGCGCAGAGGGGTGGGGAGGAGACGTGATATCCCTCCAAACAGCTGCACCCGAGTAAACATGTCTTGTGCTGGAAAGGCCAAAAGCCCACATCTGGGTATGGAGCAGGAGCTGGGTGCTGTGTTGCTGCTAGGATAGAACAGCCCCGATCCGCGCTGCAGTGCTGGCACACGGTTCAGCCTTCAGGAACGTGCCTGGGGCCACTGCACACCACAGTGCCCCGTGTCCCAGCAGCACGGCACAGCTGTGCCCCAGCACGCAGCGCGGCGCCGGGCTGGGACAGCGTGGGGACCGCTGCCAGCGGGGGCCCTCGTGGGGACATCACAGCCAAATGGGAGTCAGCCACCACTGCAGGACACGGGCATGGAGCAGAGAAGTGCAGCATTGCTGGGTGTTGGCCGTCAGTCCTGTGCCTGCTGTGCCATCCCCAGGCTCGGCGTGTTTGCACAGCTGGGGCACGCATGGATGTCACCAAGGAGAGAAAGACCTTTGTCCAAGGGTGCAATCACCAGGAAGCTGCGTTCCCATCACGGCACGCTGCCTGCAGCTGTGCTGGCCCTCGGCCTGGAGGGATTCAGGGACCCTCCCTAGGGGTCTCTTCCCCCCCCCTGCCATGGCCTGTCCCATTCCCAGCGTGCAGCCTGCAGTGCGGAACTGACACTGAGCATGTTGTGCTGGGGGGGAGGTGGGGATGGGGAGGGCTGTGTGTGTCCGAGAGCAGCCCCAACTCATACAGCCCCATCCCAGATCCCAACCCCATCCTCACCATGCACCAGAGGGGTTCTCCCACCACTTGGTGCTGGGTCCCATGGGCAGCTTCCCGAGCAAGGAGAGCAGCTGGGCTCCAGCACAACCAGCATATGAGCACAGTTCTGCCTCATCGCAGTGACGACGAAGACGTGGAGAACAGCAAAACTCCTGAGCACGCAGCCCAAACCCCCCAGACAGCGGGATGAGGAGAGACCCTCAGCAAAGGGGACAGCACAAAACTGCCCAGCACTGCTCACTGCCTGGGGATCCCCCCCCCCTCCAAGAGCAAAGCAGCCCCCTGTGCCCAGGGACAAACCCTGCTGGGTGGAAGGAGCACTTTCATTGGGCATCAGCATCTTCCTGCCCCTAAGCACCGCAGGGTGCCTCACCGGTGCACCGAATCACCTGGCACCACCCAGGCTGATCCCAACACCCTGTGCCCATGGTGTGACTTGTCCTGGGGTGCGTGGCGCAGCGCTGGGGTGTCCCCATCCCCGTCCCCATCTGTGGGCCCCGTGGGACACAGCCAGAACACGGCTTGTGTTACGGCACAGCGACGGACCCGCGCCTCCACCGGAAGGGAGATAAGCAGAGGTCCCAGCCCCGAGAGGCACAGCCTGGCAGGCGGCCACGTGGGGATGGGCATGGGGATGTGCTGCTCGAGGGGCTCAGTGCAGGGACACGGGACAGCACCCCAGGGTGGGGACACACGGGGTTTATTACAGCCAGGAAAGGGCTACACAGCAAGCGAGCGATAGATAGGTTTATTTTCTGCAAAAATAATAAATTACCACTCCCCTCCACCACCCCCCACGGCCGCGCCGAGGGCCACTGGGGTCCCACAGCGCAGCAGGAAGGAGGGCTCCCACCCCCCATCCCCACTGGGGTCCCCCATCCCTGCAGCCTCATTGCAGGTGGGCGCAGTGCCGTTCCGCCTCCCGCACCGCGCGCTCCTCGCGGGGTGACCACGGCCGCGCGTAGCCGTCGCGCTGCAGCAGGATGCGGTTCAGCGTGTGCTCGTAGTTGACGTGCCGCCGTGCCATCAGCACGTATTCGTGGCCCCCCAGCAGCGTGGGGCAGCCGCACGTGTCGGGCACCCAGACGTATTCCAGCGGTACCATGGGGAAGCGGCGTCGGTACGGCGTCACCACCTGCACCTCGTAGCGCATCTCCTGCCCCACCGAGCGGCGTGCCAGGATCCGCGCTCGGAACACTGCAGGGTGGGAGTGGGCTGCACTGAGCGGGGCATCACGCCGGGCGTTGACCCCCCCTGCCCTGCCCCCCGCCCCACTGCTGCTCACCGAAGTCACTCTGGCAGAAGTGCTGGATGCGCTGGGAGCGTCCCTTGGGTGGACGGCACCGCCCGCATCGCCCTGCGGGGACAAAGGCTGGGATGTGGCACCCAAACCCTCCCTTGGGACCCGTAAGGAGAGAGGGGCGCTTCTAGACTCCAGCATACAGCCCAGGGGTGTGGGAGGATGTGGGAGGTCACCTGCAGCAGCTCTGACCCCAGGGGGGCTTCGCGGTGGCAGTGGCTCTGTAATGTGGCCCCAGGCCCTGGGGGTCACTGTGGGAAGTGGGGGCTCAACAGGCGGGGGGCTGCCGGCACCACGGGGCTGGGGCTGTCGCAGGGCACTGGTGTCCACCATGCTGCGCTGGGGGAGCCCACGAGGCAACCAGAACTCATACTCAATGCCTGGGTTGGGCTCCTGCAGCAGCACCTGTGTGTTCAGGGGCGGAACTCAGGAGATCGTTGGGGCTGGGGGCAGCCGCCCGCATCTCCACACTGCCCCCGCTCCCCACCAGCACATGGAGGTCCTCGTCTGTGGGTCCAGGTGCCTCCAGGCTCTCGGTGCCATCAGGGCTGCGGGCGTAGAGCAGCTGTGTGCCAGCTGCCTCGTAGGGCCCCGGCCAGGCGATGGACCAGTCCCCATTGAGCACGTAGCGTCCGTCGCTCCCCATCAGGGCTGTGGGAAAGAGCGCATCTGGGCTGAGCCACGCATGGCCCCGGGATTGGCACACAGGGCTGGGCTGGGAGGAGGCACCGAGCCCCCATTGGAGGCCCCCAGGAGGGCCAGAACATTGGGAACATTGTGTGTGGGGTGTGGGGGAGCGTTAAATCCATGGCAGGTTTGGCCCAAGTCCCATGGCACAGCTGGATCCCAGGGGCAGAGCTCCCCAGTCCCCCAAGTCCCGCAGTGGCCCTGCACTGGCCAAAACTCACAGCCACCGCCTCTGGAAGCGCCCTGAGATGGGGAGCGTTGCACTCAGAGTGGGGGGAGTGGTGCTGCACAGCTGCCCGTGGCCATAGGATGGACTGGGAGGGGACAGAACACATCCTACCAAGGAAGTTGCGGCTCTTGTCTGTCACCTTGATGTTGGTGGCTCCAGCGGGAATCTTGGTCACATTCATGTACCCAAAATGACCTGAAGGTGGGCAGGGAGTCAGGGCAGAATGTGGCCCGAGGGGATATCATGGGGACAGCAGGGCCAGAGCTGGGACACGCACAGGGTGAGTGAGAAGTGGGAGGGGGTTGGGCAGTGGGGCACCCCCGGGGCATTGACCCTGCCTGACCCCATGCAGTGGGACACGCAGGTCATGCGTGGGACCCCAAAGGGAGACATGGACCACGTGGGCCCTGGGTGCATCCTGGAGACCCTTGACCAGCCCTGGGGATCACCAGACCACAGCAACACCCCAGACGTGATGGGGCTTGCAGGAAAAGCAGGCAGGGGACAAGGGGACAGGGGAGCCAAGAGCCAAAGCATTCACCCATGGAGGGGCCGGGGCAATGTTCATTCACCGGAGAAGGGCTCCGTGTCCTGGAAGAGCCGGTGCACAAAGAGGCACCCATCCTGCCCGCCGCCGCACCGGCTGCAGACACGGGTCTGTGCACCCATGCCTAGGATCCCATCACAGCCAACGCTCTGCAGGAGCAGAGATGTGGTGTCAGGGCAGGGACAGGGACCCGTGCCAGGGGTCCCATCCCCACACACACCCACCAGGCAGCGCCCACCGACGCACAGATCCGTGGAGCCAGGCCTGCAGCGGGTGCCATCCAGCACTCGGCCAAAGGTGTAGTAGAAGTTGTGCCCCACAGCCAAGCAGTTGAGGTCACAGACGTTGGGGGCTGCAGAGCCAGAGGGAAGGAGGGGACACCAGTGGTGGGGGCATCAGGGCCCCCGGTGGTGCCCCCACGCCCTGGGGCTCACCTCCATAGAAGGGCACCCAGCGGTGCCGGGTCTGCATGCCCTGCACGGGTTTGTCGTCGTATAGGGAGCACTGCATGGCACGGAACGGCACCGAGCCGCCAGGGCAGCCCTGTGGGGGTGGCACGATGGGGCAATAGGGTCTGGAACGTGGAACCCACAGCGCCACGCTGCGCTGCGCTGCACCATGGATGCTCACCTGCAGCTGGCAGAGGCGGTACTGCCGCTGGTCCCCTGTGCACGGCTCCTCCTCGGCAGAGCTGCAGCACAGCATCAGCAGGGTTAGTGTCGGGGTTAGGATTAAGGCAGCCCCATGCAGCCCTGTGACTCCATGGAGACTTCTTGTGGGGCTGGGATGCTCCAACTGGGCTGGGAGTGACGCACGAATGAGAGCAGAACCACGGTGCCCCATACGGGGCTGTGTCCCACATCTCCTGATGCGGACAGCCAAATCCGAAACCCGCTTCCTCCCCCATTCCTCCCCTTCTAAAACCATTCCGAACCATCGTGTGGGATGGTGCCCAGGTGCTGAGGGGTTCTGAGCATTGGGGACACACCAGGGGCTGCACTGCCCTCCCCGCTCACCGCAGACACCTCCGGGTGCGGAATGCAACGCCGTCCCCGCAGGAGCTGGAGCAGACACTCCATGGCCCCCACGGCCCCCACGCACCCTGAGCTGGCTGCCGGCGGGGCCGAGTGTGGGTGGGGGGCTCAGGACCCCACATTGCTCCTCGTGGGGCTGGGACCTGCGTGGAGGAAGGGGACAATCATGGCTGGGGCCGATGTGCGACCAGAGCAGCCGGGTGCCCCCAACCCTCACCTGTGTGGTGCCGATCCCACAGCCCAGGCTGAGCCAGGCCAGGAGCAGCGCCCGCCACAGCCACCAACACCTGTGGAGCAGAGACACCGAGGGTGTCACCCCACAGCTACTGTGGTGGCACTGATGGGGTGACACCACGGGGACCCCAAGTTGAGACGGCGCAGAAAGGTCCCAGGGGTGCGGGATGCACCCCAAACTGTGCCACCGAGGTGGGCGCAGCCCCACAGGCGATGCCATCACCCTTATGGCGCTGTGCTCAGCACAGCTCTGTGCACCTCACACGGCCCCACACATCCCATCGTCTGCCGGGCTGGCGGTGCAGGACGGGACCTGCGTGGTGGAGGCGGTGGTGCAGCCGTGACTCAGTGTCCCTCCCTGAGCAGCGCGCCTGGATCCGGATCTGCCCTCTGTGAGCAATGCAGGGGGTGCCAGAGGGCTGCCCTGTGTCCCCTCCCCGCAGTGCCTGACCCTGAGCACCCCACTGCCCACAAAAACTCCTTTTCCTGTGTCCCTAAACCACCTCACGACCTCAAACCACCCCACATCCGCAAAACCACCCCATGGTCCCCAAAGCACCCCGCAGCCCCACCCCGCAAAGGGGTGCGGGGGCCCCAGCCCTGCAGCAGAGACGGGGCCATTCCTGGAAAATCCCCTGGCTGAGCCGGTCTCCTCCCACCCCGCTGCGCCCACAGGGACCGGGGCTCTCTGGGGACACAAATTCCCTCCTGCACCCCAGCACCACGCGGGTAGCAGCAGCACAGCCAGATTCTCCCCACACCCCCAATTTTCCCGTGGGGGCCAGGGGCAGCCGATGGGGGCAGAGGGCTCAGCAGTGATGCCCGACCCCAGCATGGTGCAGGAAGGCACCACGTGCCTCAGTTTCCCTGGGGCGAAGCAGGGCTCTGCGTGCCCATGGGGCAGCAAGGGGGGTCCCACAGCCCACTTCCCCCCAGCAGGGTGGGCAGAGAGCTACGAGAGATTCAGCAGAACGCAGCGGCTTACCCGGCACTGTGGGCTCCCCCGGGGTGGGCGCGGGCTGCCAGGCTGTCCCGCCGCCCTATTGCAGCCATGCCTAGCTCTGCTGCAGCACCAGCACCCTGGGGTGCTTTCTGGCTGCTCCGTCCTGACCCAGAGGTCCCGCTATGGGGCCGGGCACATGGGGGGCAGCTCAGGACCCCCCCGGCCGAGCGGGCATCGCGTGTGCAGCTCCTGGGGCGGGCGGCTGCGCTCCCCTCCCGCTCGCCTCCCGTCCCTCCCCGCTGCGTTATTAATATCCAGCCCCAAAGGTGCGCCCAGCCCTCCCCAATCTCCTGCTTAACCCTTGGGGGCCCGCGGTGCACCGAGCTGCGGGGGAGGTTCAGCTTGGGGGGGGGGGGGGGGGGGGGGGGCCCAGATGGGGGAGGGGGAAGAACGTGACCCCAAGTCCGACCTCAGCCTCAACACTGTGGGGTGACACGGGGTCTGGTGCCGCTGGAGTTGGTATCACCAGGGGAGGTGGGGGAGGGGGGGGCCCGTTCCTGGCACCTCGCTGTGCCCCCCCTCGGAGGTGGCTCCATCCTCCCCCCCCTCCCAGGGGTCTCCTCACCCATTGGCATCACACGCACACCAGCACAGCCCAGCGTGGCACACAGGGAGTTAAGGGCCTGGGATGTCCCTGGGGGGGCCACAGCTGCCGCCAGCCCTGCGCTGGCTGCTGGCCAGCCCCAAACCCCCCCCCAGTCAAGGCCCAGCTGCAGGCGCCAGGCAGGGAGCCCTGTGCAGGGGGCCCTGGGGTGCAACCCCCCCCTGCTGCAATTGGGATCCCTGGAACCCAGTCCTGCCCAAAGGGAAGGAGAGGCAGATAAGACCCCCTCCACCCCCAGCCCCATTCTTCCCCAGCATCTTTGGGGCTGGGTTCCAGCAGCTACAGAGAGATCTTCTGGAAAGATTGGGGGGGGTCTTTGGGTGCTGGGAAGGCAGGCAAATGGAGGGGGTCACAGCATCCCCCAAACTCTAGCTACATTGCCATGGGCTCCATCCCCACCCAGCAGCCCAGGGAGGTGGGACCCACCCCAGGGCTGTGCCCCCCTGGACCCACAGCATCACAGCACCCAGGGTACAAACAGCCCGGAGATGAAGCAGTTACAGCTTGGGGGGGGGGGGAAGGAAAGCCAGGTGCAGGTGATGGTGAAGCATTCCAACATAGAGCACAGTGCAGCAGGATGGCACAGGGTGAGCTGCCCGACAGCTACATCCAGAACGAGGGCAGCGGGGCTCTCTACCAGCGGGGATGGCTGCTGGGGGAGGTAAATGTCCAACACCTTCCTGCCTCCAGCCAGGACTCCCCCTCTCCATGGGGAAACCAGCGCAGACAGAACAAGGATGGAGGCAGAGCAGAGCACAGAGCAGCACCAGGAGATCCCCCGGGGTCCCAACCCCTGGGAGTCCATCCATCTGTCCCCCCAGGGTGCTTTTGGGAGCTGCTATCAGCTGATGGAGTTGGCCAGCGGAAGGGTCTACGCTGCAAAGGTGATCCCACGGGCCCGGCTCTCCATGCCAGGAACCAGGGAGAGGGTGAGTGTGGGGGGACAGGACACTCCAGGGAGGGGAGCAACGCCCGCAGCCCTTCCTCCTTCTCTTGTCTTGGGTTGATCTCTTGCTTCCCATCCCCATCTCCCTGAGGGCAGCGCACTGGGGGGGTCTCTGGGCTCACCCCAATGCAGGTGGAGCACGAGTTGGAGCTGCACGGCCGCCTGTGCCACCGCCACATCGTCCGGCTGCACGGGCACTTCGGCACCCACAGCCACCTCTACCTGCTGCTGGAGCACTGCGGGCGCGGGGTGAGAGGGGTTGGCAGGGATGGGGGGCAGCAGCGGGGCTGTGCTGTGCTCTGAGCCCCCTCTCTGCCCCATCCCAGTCCATTGCTGACATCCTGAGGGCTCGAGGAGCGCTGACAGAGCCGGAGGTGAGGTATTACTTGCAGCAGGTGATCGCAGGGCTGCGCTACCTCCACAGGCACGGCATCGTGCACCGGGACATCAAGCCAAGTATGCAGGGCATGCAGGGGGGGGGTGGGAGAGCTGCGGCTGCATTCAGGCTGATGTCCCCCTGCAGGTAACCTGCTGGTGACCGAGGAGATGCAGGTGAAGATCGGGGACCTGGGGCTGGCACGGCAGGTGGCGGCAGGCGGGCGGCAGTGGGGGTGAGCGCAGCCACGGCTCCCCATCATGGGGGGAGCAGCATGGAGCTCACTCTGCCTCCCATGCAGGACGCTCTGCGGCACACCAGGATACCTGGCCCCGGAGGTGCTGGAGCGCAAGGGCCATGGGCTGCCCTCAGATGTGTGGGCGCTGGGCTGTGTCATGTAGGTGGTGGCCCAGCAGGGGGGGAGGGCAGGGGGTGCCCACGGCCCTGCTGAGCACCCAAACCCCCCCTATCTATCTCCCCAGGTACACGGTGCTGACAGGCAGCCCACCTTTTGAAGCAGCAGAGCGGCAGGAGCTGTACCAGCGCATCCGTGCAGTGCAGTATCCCCTGCCCAGCTGCCTCTCAGCCCGGGCCCGAGCTCTCCTCTCACAGCTGCTGGCCCCCGAGCCCCCGGCACGACCCAACCTGCAAGATGTGCTGGACCACAGCTTCTTCAGCCAGGTGTGGGAGGAGGTGGGAGCAGCCCTGGGCACACGGATGCACGGGGAATCACTGCCTGTCTCTGCACAGGGCTTCACACCGGCCACGCTGCCGCCCCACGCCTGCCACACGGTGCCCATCTTCAGCCTGCTGTGGGGATGGCTGCGCCGTGAGCGCCGTGCTGCAGCCACCTCTGGCACCAGGAGGAGCAGCTTCCTCAGCCGGACCTGAACCACGCTGACACCCGCATGGGAAAATCTTTATTAGTGCTAGGAATCGTCTAAAATCCAGTCATTGGAACAAGCAGGGAGGGACGCGACCATTACAAACGGCACACACACACCGGTTTGCCCTTCAAGGTTGACAAAATGAAACAAGAAAACCCACAAACGGGATCTCTCTCCCCTGGCGGGGGGCGGAGGGACAAGGTGCAGCTCCAGGGAGCCTGGTGCAAGACAGCACTGTGCCTCGGGGCCAGCCCTGCGAGCAGCACCTCTCACCGCACACATCAGCACGAGTAAGTGGAAGGAGGGACAAAGTTATATGGGAAAGAGGGAGGAAAGTGCACGTTTTCCCTGCCCGGATCTCTCCTTTGAGAGAAAAGGGCAGAAGAAAACCCTGAAAGCTCAGTAAAACGTGACAGTTATAAACACTCACAGCGTCACATTGAGCACACCCAGCCCTGCGCTGCCAGCACCCGGGACAGACACTCACCTATGCCTAAAACAGAGGGTGGGGGGAAAGAAGGGTGCCTACCTGACCCCAGCGAGGAGCACCGAGGAGCCGCATCGCTGCTCTGGGTCCCATCCATGTGGTAGGGTGAGGGAGGACAGCAGCGGCCCTCGTCTCACTGGGACCGGGGCAGGAAGGTGACAGCAGTGGTTTTGTCTGCACACAGTGCGTGCTTCTCATCAGCAGCCGGCCCAGCTTTCATCCCAGGGGGTGAAGCAGCTCAGCTGGGAGCTTGGGGACCAGAGGAGGAGCACAGGGAGCAGCCGGGGCCGGCAGCGTGAGCTCCAACAGCAGAGGAGCCGCAGGGCTCAACGCCTGGCTCTGAGCAACCTCACAGCTGGGGAGAGAGCAGGGAAAACCCCTCACCGCAGCAGGAGCAAACCACAGCCAGGGCCTCAGCTCTCCCAGGAGGGCGCCTGCTTCCACCCCGTGCCACGCAGGCGCTGCCATGGGCCTTTTCAGGGCCACGCTGCTCTCGAGGCCAGGCGAAGGGCTGCCTGCTGGCCCCCACAGCCCGGCCGCTCCCAGGCCCTCCCCTGGCTCCAAGCCCACTCGATATTTTTATCCCAAGCATCTGTGCTGTTTGAAGCCTTCTGCTTTCTTTTTTTTTTCCATGACCCTCCCCTGTCCCACCCTGGCTTAGAGCTGACACCAACAGCAAGGCACCCTGCTGCTGTGACCTGAGCCCCGAGGGCAGCGGCTGCTCCTGGATGACCCCAGATGTGGGGTCCTCGTCTCTGCCCCCCCCCCCAGCGGGGCGGGCCCCCGGGGCGGCAGCACTGCAGCAGCTCAGGACAGGACATTCTGGCAAACACGTTGGTTTTTAAGCACCAAGATCTTCCTATGTTTATTCCACGGCTGCCCAAAGATGGGGAGAGCGGGATTCCTAATAAAACTCCTCAGGCTGTTTTGTTTTGCGCTCAACAGTAAGGCTACTCTGGTCACAAAACAAGTCAAGCCCTATGGGAAGTCTCCTAACGAAGGGATTTTAAAACAATGGTTCAAGTTTGCTAAATTCTCACCCTCCTCCCCAGCTAACAATGAGACTAAAGCTCACCCTCCTGCCAGAAATCAGGTACAAAGTTCAGCTAACTTTTGTGGCCAGTGACAGCCCCAGCCCCTTTCTGGGGAGCCACAAAGGGGATTCAATTTCCTACACAGAGCTGTCACTGCAGAGCCCAGGACCCGGACCAAACCCAGCTCTGAGTGCCCAGATGGGCTCAGAGGAGGATCCTGGAGGAGCAGCTCCAACGGGGCGGGCCCAGGATGTGCTGAAGTACTGGGTATTGCTGGGCCTGAGAGGACTGGTGAGTAGGCAAAGGAGCTGGCTTGACTCAAACGGGCTGGAGCAGCTTCTTAGCAGGCTGAAGGCAGCGAGTTGCTCTCCACCTTCAGTCCTTTGCTGGCCAGGAAGGCATCCTGCTTGGGCTCACGGCCCAAAAACTTCCTCAGCATGTCAGAAGCATCCAGGGACCCTCCAGGGTGCAGGATACAATTCCTATAATCCATGCCCACCTGCAAGGAGAGAGATGGGAGTGCGTGCAGGGCACCCGCTCCCTGCTGACCTCGCTGCAGTGCCTCCTACCACCTCCTTCCCCCGGGGAAGGCAGCCCCTAAGTCTGGCCATGCAGGACACCCTCCCTACCTTGCAGTTCATGATTCCCTCCTGCTTGAAGCGTGTGTGGAACATGTCCATGGAGTACACTTCGCTCCAGAGGTACCCGTAGTACTGGGCATCGTAGCCTCCAGCCAAGTGGCCAAAGGTAGCTGGCATGTTTGTACCTTCACAGCAAAGGAAAGGAAGGGTTAAACTGGAAAGGCTGCAGGAACTGGTCATGGAAAAAGCCCTCCGTGCTGTAAATGTGTCAGAACAGGCGCTGTGTCAGCCTGTTCACAATCGCAGGGGAAACAGGGATGGAATTTCCCACTATTTTTGGTATGGTTTCTGCCCTGCTCTTCCTGGAGTCAGTGGAAACCATCCCCTCCAAGCCAGCCTGAAGCCCCATCCCAGAAAGGGACCTGCAGAACCAAACCCACAGAAACAGCACGAGTGAGGCCCCCAGCACGAGCCCCTCATACCTGGGGTAGCAGGGACACCCAGCACCTCCTCACAGAGCTGTGCAAACACTTCCACAGGGTCAGCCTTCGTCTGCGTGTGCAGCGCCTGGTCCACCTTGGCCAGGACGATCTGACGCAAGTTGAACAGCCCTGTTCCCGGGGGGGAGGAGGAGAACTGAGGCCTGGGGGCTCCCATAACTCTCCCCACAGATGTGGGTCCTTCCTCCCAGGCCTCTCAGTCCCAATAGGCAACAAGACAAAGCCTTTCATCTGACCATCCTGACCAGCCAGGTCAGCAACGGTCCCCTTCCCTGCCCCATATGCAGCAGCTGATATCCCAGCAAGGCTCTGTCCTCACTGGGAACAGCACACAACCCTCTGTTCCTAACCCCCACGTCCCTCTTCAGCACCTACCCGTGTTTGCTTGCCGGGATTTAATGAGCTTCTCCAGCAGTTCATCAGGAATGGGGCTTCCTGTTTTGTAATGCCTGGACATGCGCAGCAAAGGCTCCTTCTCCCACACCCAATTCTCCAGCATCTGTGATGGTGCCTCAACAAAATCCCTTTCCACGTGTGTCCCACTGAACATGGCAAACTCCGCCTAGGAGACACATCCAGACAGTCAACCACATCTCCAAGTGGGGCATAACCCAACTTGGGGGCACAAAGTGGGGAAAGGTAACAAACCAGGCCTCTGCCAAGCCAGCCAGACCTCACCTGAGAGCACAGCTGGTGCATGACATGCCCAAATTCGTGGAAATAGGTCTCCACTTCATCGTGCTGCAGCAAGGAGGGTGCATCCGGTGTGGGCTTGGTGAAATTGGCCACCATGGCAGCCACTGAGATCTGCCGGCTGGAGTCTGGCAGGAGGCAGCCTGGCTGCAGGCCGAAGCAGGCTGCGTGTCCATATTTCCCTTCCCTGGGTGAGGAAGAGGAGTTTGCTGTGTGATGCTCCCAGCCACGAGCCATCAAACAGGGCACTGAGTTTTGCTCAGCAGCCCCGGCGATGCTGCAGCTCACACAAAGCCAGTATCCCCAGGACACCCCCAACCCCCTTCTGCCACAGCCACGTGCTGGGGAGAGGGATGTCTCTCCTCCTCAGGCACACAGCACTCTGCTCCCACTGCCCCTCATCCCTCAATCTGATTTGCCCCGAGCCTCACCGTGGGTACAGATCCAGGTAGAACTTGCCGATGGTCTCCCCGGAGGAGGTGTCCTTCACCGTGTAGAGCTGGACGTCCTCGTGCCACACCTGAGCCTTCTCTTCTAGATGGAAAGTGAGCCCCAGCAGCTCCTGGTAAATGGCCAGCAGGCCTGTGGTGACCACCTGCATGGGGAAGTACTCCTTCAGCAGGTTCTGGTCCACGCTGTACTTGGTTTCCTCCACCTGATTCATGTAGTAGCGCATGTCCCAGGCGTTGATGCGGTTGTCGAACTCCAAGCCTCGCTTCTCACATTCTTTCTTTTTCAGGTCCAGGATCACTGCCCGTTCCTTCTCCCCAAGGGGTTTCAGCTTCTGGGCCAGCTCATCTGGGAAAGCACAGCAGGCAGCGTTGGTGAGAGCAGCACTCGGCCCAGCAGTGCCCCCAGCCCCCCTCCATCACCCACAGCCATACCCAAGAAAGTAGCCACTGTCTTGCTGCTTTTAGCCATGTTCATCTCCAGCACAAAATCAGCATGAGTGCTGAAGCCCAGCAGACTGGCTTTCTGAGCCCGCAAGTCCACCAGCTCCTTGAGGATCAAGCAGTTCTCCTGCAATGCAAAGGCACACAGCTCAGCACGAAGCAGGTACACAAGAAAGGAAGCACGAGCTGCCCATGTCCTAACTGGCATTCGCTCCTCCTGGCCAGCACTGAGGCCACCTACCTCTTTGCACCTCGAGTTGAACATCTCCTCCACCTTCCTCCTTGTCTCAGGCACGTAGCACTTCTTCAAGAGAGGGAAATAGTGGGGGTATTTCAGGGTGACTTTCAGCTTGCCATCCTCTGTCTTCTCCAGAGAGTTCAAGAAGTCCTCAGGGAGCCCCCCTGAGAAAAGAGCAGGCAAATGACAAAGAGCCCACATCTTTCCCCCAAAATATCAGGTCTGTGCACAGAAACAAGCTTTTGCTCCTTCTCCAGAGCAATCCCAGTGCTCACATTCCTGCACACTGGCTGGGCCGTGCTACCAGAGCACAAACACACTTCTTGCTCACACAGAAAAAAGGCAGACTGCCCATTTTTAACTCTGTACCTGACCCACCACCACAGCATGCAGAGAACTGGCAAGCACGAGCAGTCCATACCTAGTTCCTCCCTTGAGAAGGGCAAAAAGGTGGTGTCCTCATTCAGGTTCTTGTTGAAGTCTATGCAAAGGACGCTCAGCTTTTTCTTAATAGCTTTGATTTTCTTTAAAACAGAGAGACAAACAGGAAGAAGTCAGTCCAAAAAGGGAAAGTCAAACAGCACCCCTCAACCTCCAGCCAGCAGCCTGCCTGCTGAGTCGCCCGGTGGTTTGCAGTTGGCTTTTATTCAAACACAACGCTGCAGAATTAATTGTGTGCAGGCACTGAGCTCTCAGCCTGGAACAGGCTCCCTTTGATCACACCTGGTAGGTAGCAGCCACCTCAGCAAGGTCCCAACTGCCTCCCGCAGGCTCAAGAGCTGCAGGTGTTGAAGCAGCTGCCTCCCCTGCCCTTCTTTCATCTCACCTTCTCTTGTATTTTTAACCTTGATTCAGGCTCCATCACTGAGCCGTTGGCTCGTGGTAAGAGGGAGACCCTGAGCAGCTCATCCCTCAGTCTGCCCACCTCAGCCTCAGCCTCCCCTCCCTACCACCCCACAAGGCCTCCTCTGCAATTCTATGCTCTCACCTCCTGCGTTTCCTCAGGCAGATGGAGACCGTTTCTTTTGCCCAGTTTGATCAGCCTCTCCAGGTACCTCTTTGCTTCAGGCTTCAGCGAGGCACTCTCTGCTTTCTCCTGCATAAAACAAAGCCCATGAGCGCAGGGAGCCAAGGGATCAGGCATCCTCACACGCTGCTGCAGGAAGTTGGTCCTGAGACCTGTGGGCAATTGTAACACTAGTGACACAGAAGAATTACCCAGGCCTTTTTCCACAAGGGAGGCAAGCATACCAACGCTTTTTATTTTTATTTTTTTAACCACAAGGATAACCAAGGCCCTGGGTTTGTGTCACAGCCCTCAAATTTCAATGCCTCAGGTCACTCTAGCACCTAGACCATACAACCACTCAGCTCCAGACCCAGCATCACTTGCTTCTAAGGCCTGAGACAAGGGAAGAAAGTTTGCTGTCGTTCCAGGAAGTTTCAGTTCCCCACTCAGAGGCACACACCTGGAGCCAGACAATCCTCTGGTACACATCCTGCCTCATGCTCATCTCCACATCGAACTCTGAGAGCTTCTTGTCAGCTTCAGTGCTTGCTGCACGGATGTCTTTGCAAGGAGAGACGTGCTGGGGGAAGTCCAGCATGTTCCGACGGACTGCAAAGACAGCAGAGAGATCACAAAAAAGGCAACAGCTTCGTGTCCCAGAGCTGCTCACGAGCAGGAGTGCAGACAGCAAGTCTGTGTGAACTGGGAGCCAGTCTGACAGCCCTGGAGCCTGACCCAGCTGCCCACACACAGGGAGAGCAAGGCAAGCTGCTGCCCTCAGACAAATCTGGAGTGACCCCATGCTCGCTGCCACGCCTGCTAACCAGATCTGTCCACTGATTTCTCCCTACACTCAGGCCTTCTCACAAAAGTTGCATGAATTTCCCAACTATTTTGCCAGGCTTAGCTGGTATCAACAGAATGACAGCTGGCAGACACGCAGGCAGCATGGCTGCATGCCTCCTTCCACAATGGAACCAGGCCATCAGTGACACACCTTTGTTGCAGATGCTTCTCGAATGCTGCAATGCCCCAGGTGTGCTCTCACCTGACTCATCTCCATTTTAGAAATGAATGTACAGAAAATATTCCCTGCTACCACCAGATAACACCACGCCATCACATCACGTTACTCTGCAGAACCCCTAAAATGACAGCAATGTTCAAACAGACACACACAGATATCCATCCACTGCCCTGGAGAAGAAACCAAAAATGACAACGACCTAAAGATTTCTGAGACTTCTGTCAATGCACCCTTTGTTCCCACTGATGCATCTTGACATATAAAATCAGCAGGCAACCTTGAAAACGAGCTGCTCCTCCCGCAGACCTTCCTGCTGCCAAAACACTATTCTCATTTTAGACTCAGGTTTCCGTTCCAAGTCTACTCTTTGCTTTGTACTTGTACCTGGCTGTGTAAACATTAACTAGAAAAGCACACACATCACGGAGCGGGTCAAGGGAAGGCAAAAGGAGATGACAGAACCAAAAAAAGGTGCAAAAAACACACATATTAAGATGTAGACTTCCTGACAGCGAGCGCTCCCACTTCACACGCATACCTGTATATTCCACTTCCACATCCGCCAGCGCTTTCAGGGTGTTCTCATAGGACACCTCTCCCTGCTCCTGGGAGCCCACACGGTCGTACACCAGCTTGGTCCTCTCGGTGAGCTCAGCAGCCATGCGTTCGATCTGCTCAGCACTCAGATCCCAGCGCAGCTGGTTGGCTGGCGGGCGGGGGGACTGACTGTCCACCACGTTACCTGGGGGAACAGGAAGGAAACCATACGTGAGCCGGGAGGAAAATTCAGCTGCACATCCCGAGCTCGGTAAGAACACCCCATAGGGGCCCTGCACACAGGTTGGCACGGAGGGCAAAACAGCGAGTGCAGGGGGCTGGAACACCGTGCCCTCAACTAAAGGGGCTGTCCAAGGCCGGGGGTCCCCTCGGGCCCTATGGGGCTGCTCTGTCTCCCCTCCCCCCCCCGGGCCGTGCCCTGTGCCCCCAGCCCCCGGATCTCGACCCCTCCCAAGGCTTCCTCCTCCACCCTCCATCCTCCCCCCACTGCTCGCCGCAGTCCTGCCCCCCCCGAGCCGCTACCTGTAGGAGGAGCCATGCCGGCCGGCCGGGGGGCCCCGCTGCTGCTGACGAGGCCGCGAGGAAACCGCGCCGGCCCCGCGCACCGAGCATGTGCCTGAGCAGCGAGACGGGCGGCCAGAGCGGCCGCGCTGAGGGATTGTGGGAGCGGGGAGGACCGGGCCGCTCTCTAAGCCCCTTCAGCCCAGCCCGGTGCAGCAGGAGCGGCCCGATCACCATCCCCGCCACGCCCACGGCCCTGAGCGCCATCGCACCGCCGGCAGCGGAGCAACCGGCCCCGGCTGGGCCACCCTCCCGTTCCTATAGCGACACACCCCCGATCGTCTCTATGGTTAACGAGGAGGAGCCGCAGCCGCGCTTCCGGCCTCCAGCCGTCACCTAAGAGGGCACGCAATGCGCATGCGTCGAGCTGTCCGCCCCTCCCCGTAGCTCTGTCATGGCGGATGAGGGCGGAGCCTCACTGCTGCGCACGCGTTTTGAGCGCTCCACGGGACGCGCATGCGCAGTATTATCCAGACAGCACGCGTGCGCGTGGGGTGGGAGCGGCGCATGCGCAGTGCCGCGCCCGCCCTGGCCGTGGGGAGCGTCGCGGTGCCCGGTGAGCGGGGCGGGGCGGGGCGGAGCGGCGGCGGCGGGGCGGGGGACGGCGGCGGCGGGAAGCCGGGCTACGCTGCACCGCGCTGCTGGGCGACCGAGGCCTGGCTCCGGGCCGGGCGGTTTCATCTCGTTCTGGGGTCTGACGTGGGCCGTGCCGTGTCCCGGGGCCTGCGCTGGGAATCCAGAGCTGTGCGGGCCTCGAGCTGAGGGCACGTTGGGTCGGCGTGGCTCGGGGCCGCACGCTCGTAGCCACTACAGACGGACAGACAGACGGACACACCGCTGCTGGGCCGGCCGAGGAGCCCCCGGGGCCTGACAGAGAGCCGGGCCGGGCAGAGGGGGGGGTTTCCTTTAGCAGAGGTTGCATTTAAACAGTTGGGTTCTCAATTCACGAGCCCTGCGCGGCTTTCTGCGCTCCCGTCTCCGTGCTGGGAGCTGCGTTGGTTCCCTGCAGGGCAACGAGGCCGTTTGTGTCTTGCGGGTCTGCGTGGGGATCCGTGCAGAGCTCCAGGCTCGGCTCACCGTTTCCCCGTGCTGTCCCCTTGTCTTTGTCTCACGCCCGCGTTGTCTCAGGAAGAGGAGAGCTGCGGTGTTCTTAGCGCTGATCTCCTCGGGGCTGAGTCTTTTTGATTCATTTCTGGGGGCTGTGTGTCCCTAAAGCCTTTCGTGTGGTTCCCTTGGCAGTGGTGTGTGGGGCAGGGCGGTGCCGTGCAGCTGGGGTGCAGAGGGGAATTGAGGGCTGGGAGGCCAGCTGAGTATTTGTAGAGTAGAGGGATTAATGAAGGCTCTGAAGGCCTTTCTCCATCCTGAAGGATTCCCTCATCCCTTTCATATAGGGAGAGAACAGCAGAAGAGACCTTTGACTTCCAGCCCTTCAGGTCATGTAACTTCTTTCTCTACAGATACTATAATATATTTTTTTTAAGTTAGAAGAAGTCCAAACATCACAGCCTCCCACAATGGCAGACCAGAAGCGCCTTGCGTACTCCATCATCCAGTTCTTACATGACCAGCTACAGAACGGGGGTCTTTCTCCAGATGCTCAGGAGAGTTTGGAAGGTAGGTGGCCATTCTCTGCTATGTGTGTGGATCTGTCAGCCCAGCTCATGGAGCAATTTGGACGTTTGGTTGCCGTCCTCTGCCTCATAACTTGCCTGGGCTGTTTCTAACATCCAAGATTTGAATGAGTTTTTCTTCTTAGGCAGATAGCAGGCAATTAGAGATGCTGATTGCTTATCTGATTTCTTGCTCCCTCTTTCAAAACTAGATTAGCTTGAGGAACGGATATGCCTGGGATCAAAAGCCTCCCTGACCCTGGGTTTGAGATTTAAAACTTTTTATCTTCAGTGAGGTTGAGTGGAGGGTTTGGTAACAGCGCAGAACAAGAACTCTGTGGCAGTATGGAAATGATTCATATTGCAGAAGTGCTTTTCCAGGTCTGCTCTCAAAGTGCTTTTCCACATCACACCGTGAAGCATTCAGACAGGCTTTTTCAGGGGGCTTCCCTGTCACGAGAGCACGCTGATCTTAAAAGACCTGCCTAAGGAGCTTAAGCCTTAGTGTTTGGCCTGTGTGGTGGAAGGGGGAGCACAGGAACGCCTGCAGAGCGTGGTGCTTGGTTGCTTGTTTCCTGTGTTTCCACAAACATGCTGCTGTCTCTTTGCTCTGAGCTTTGGGAGTGCTAATAAAGCCCTTGTTCTGTTAACATCCACCTGCTCTGAAGTTACCTGAGGGGATGGGAATTGTCAGTGTTGCTTCCTGGGAGCTGCTTTGCCCAGCTCTGAGGGTTTGGTAAAATATGCTGGGGTGTTTTTCTGGCGTGTTCAACTGTAAGAAATTTGGGTGTTGTGGAAGAGAGCTCAGTAATTAGAATGGGGAGAGCTAACGACCTGATTCGTTACGCCCAGTGGCAATCCAGTGCCTGGAGACAGCTTTTGGAGTCTCCCTGGAAGACCAAGGCCTCGCTGTGTCACAAACTCTCCCTGAAATATTTGAAGCTGCTGCAGGAAAGGTGAGCAAATTCCTTAAATATGTGCTGAGTTTCGATGTGAGCAGCCAAAGCAATGAGCTTTGCTTGGTTTCTGCCCCCCTGGAGGCGTGTGGGAGTGAAATGTTTTGGGCTCGACGTGCTTGGGAAGGGGGAGGTGTGGAACTTTTCTGTGGGAGTCCTGATCTCAGCACAGCCTTCTCCCTTTCCTTGTAAGGAGCCTGAACACATGAGAGCAAACTCGGAGCCAGTCACCCCCTCTGAAGATGACGTAGCTGAAGCTGAAAGGCTCAAGACTGAAGGTAGCTTCCCCTGGAGCTGGGGTTTGATGAGGTTTAAATGGTGTTGGGGTGGAAGGCTTAGCTCACTCAGCACCTGGGGAGCACATGGGTGGGATCAGCCCTTTGTTTCTGCTTGTTCCTCTGCTCGTGTGGAGGTTGGTGTTATTCAGCTGCCACAGAACCTACGTAGACAGCTGGCTCAGCATTTTCTTTTGCATTCTGAAGGCCCGTGCTGTGTAAATGTGGCATCTTTCCTGCTGGGCTCTCCTCTGTGTGCTGCCTTTTCTCTGCCATGCAAGACAGCGTGAGCAGTGCTGACGTACAGCAGGGAGCTTTCAGTAAGCCAGTGCACTGCGTTGATGTCCAGAGCACAGAGTGACTCTGGGGAGGCCTCTGCTGTGTCTGAGATGGGAAAGCAGCTGAGGGGGGGCTCGCAGGATCCCGTCTGAAAGGCTGACAAATAACCTGAAATTGCCAAGATAAGGATCTCTTGCTGCACTGCTGAACTTGCCTCACGCTTGCACGCAGTTTGACAGATCAGCAAGAGATGCAAGCTCTTGGCTTCTCTTTTGTTCTGTTTTCTTATGAAGAGCAGAGATCCGGGCTCGTTGCTTTTGTTTGCCTGCATTTTTAACTTAATCAGCCTTTTCTCCATTTCTTTAGGGAATGAACAGATGAAGGCAGAGAACTTTGAAGCTGCTGTGTCCTTCTACGGAAAAGCAATTGAGTTAAATCCATCCAACGCTGTGTATTTTTGCAACAGGTACTGGTTGTCTCTGGCCTTGCACACCTGTGGTTTTGGCCCTTATTTCTTACACCTCAAGCTCCTGCTCGCTCAAAATCCCCTTTCCAAAGTTCTGTAGGCTGCTTGTTCTGTTGCTGCTTGTGGTGGTTTTGCTTCTGGTTTTTCCTTAGCTCGGTGACACGCTTTCCTGTGCCTCTAGCCAGCTCTGTGCCCTGGCATCACTCAGTAGGTGTGGAAACAAACCCTTTGGCATTTTAAGGGAGATAAGGGTACCAAGGAACGCTGTCTGCTTTCATGCAATTAACTCCTTCAGTAAGACAAGGGCTGGGATTTGAGAGGCAAAAACAAAGGAGTGCAGTGAGACAAGCTGAAGGCTTGCTGTCAGCATGTGGAGCGCACAGGAAAACGGGAGCAGCAGTCCTTGTGACTGAGATATGGGGGTGAAGGGGAGATGAGGCTGAGCCAGCGATGGGATCCTTTCCTGCTTCCTTCCTCTTGGAGTGTCTGTAAGGAAGGGGGAGAGCTCAGGTTTGTTTGCAGTAGGAGCAGAATGTGAGGCTGAGGGTTTGGATAGCAAGCTGCTCACGTAGGAGCGGTCTGGATTTGTGTCAAGTTCACACTTTGACTTTCCCTTTAGAACAGGAGGCTGCAGAGAGGGAGCAGAGGTGACCTTGATCAGCATGTTCAAGCTGATAAGTGGTTTTGCACATCTTTCTTCTTCTCTCCAGAGCTGCTGCATACAGTAAATTAGGAAATTATGCTGGAGCAGTCAGAGACTGTGAAAGAGCAATCGGCATCGATCCAAACTACAGCAAAGCTTACGGCAGAATGGGGTAAGTGAGAGAAGGGGGTTTTGTGCCAGAACTTCAGTCTCCGAGTGCTTGGTGGTAATTACACTATCAGCAGGGTTCTGCCCTGCAGTGCCATGTAAAAATACCTGGTGTTTCACCTCTGCTGGGGTGGAGGAAGGCTGCGAGTCCTTATCTCCCTCTGTAACTTTCTTTTATTTCCACTTCAACAGCTTGGCTCTCTCCAGTTTAAATAAACACACAGAAGCTGTTGTCTACTACAAAAAAGCCCTGGAGCTTGATCCAGACAACGACACCTACAAATCCAACCTTAAAATAGCTGAACAGAAAATGAAAGAGACTCCTAGTCCGGTAAGTTCTGAAAGCAATACTGAAGCGGAGATGAGATGAAATGGAGGCTTCTTTCCTGCAGGTGCTGGGTTGTGTTTAGAATACAAATCTTGCATGCAGATGGAGGGGAGGTGGTTAACAAGTGCTGCTGCTGTGAACCCTTCCTCTAAAACCCAGAGAGAGCGATTTCAGCGCTCTGCAGGAGCGCAGTCGCCTCGGGCTGGGAAGCGAGGCTGATCAGAAGGAGCTGTTAGAGTGTTTTGAAGGGGATTTTGGCTTTCTAGAGGCTTCTGTAGCACAGAGGTGAGCAGGTGGGGGTGTTTGAGTGGCGGGTTGCTGGTTTGGGGCAGTGCACGG